AGAGGTTTGGGAAATCCGGACGAGGATTCAAGGAAAATCGTAACAATATGCATTTCAAGTTTGGAAAAAACTTTCGTTACTAATTTATATGATACCGACTAAAACACTTGAACTTATCGCAACAGGGAAATATTATTTTATCAGTTTTAACCTTAGTAGGATGAAGAAGCTTTTCATGGGGGAGATTCTATAACCAGTTAGCGACAAGTTTTGGATCGATATCGCGCTTGTTAACGTAAAAATATTTCCTATCATACATATGTCAACAAAACCGATACCGATTCGAAAATTGTCGCTAACTGGTTACAGAATCTGCCCCCAGGCCTACAAAAATGATATCTTCCGACTCAGCTGGAACAAGAGTGCTTCAAACAAGTAAGAGTTTCTCTGTATTATGGCCTCGAACCGACATATATACATCTTTCATTTGAATAAGTATTAAAAGTTCTATTGGCTCCGTTTTTTTTCCATATTTTTGGCCTATGAGCGCTTTTATTCGAAACCTAAATGTTTCGGTACCGAGTATCGAGAATATTGGATACTTAAAAGTATTGACACAGCACATCACTACTTCTGTCATCTCGACTGTGACGTCAGCAAAACAGCTGATTCTATCAAATTCACTGAGAGCCGATTATCGGTGTTGCCATCGCCCCACCTTCTTTATTCTCTCCGCCGTGCTCAGTATCGATACCAAAGCCTCAAATTTCGAACCCTAATCGTATGCTGCAAATGCTGCATTATACTAAAGCCAGCCTTTCGACATAAGCTATAGCTATACTATTCCATATGAACACAGATATAAACATAAAAAATAAGATATTAAGTGGGTGCTCTAAAGGCCCGTCCACATACAACTTTGGCGTTGCGTTGGCGCTGGCGTCGCTTTGACAGCGGCGCGCGTAACGCCCGTGCTTGCTACAATGAACGCTTAGCACAGAATACTTTGGTCACTAAATTAACATACTAGCGGCTGATAAATCAAAATTTTTACATCAATAATTGCATTAAAAACTATATTTCTTGCCCGCATTTGATTAAAAATTAAAATTAAATCACATAATTTTGATTATTTAGAACAGCTGACGAACGACGCGCGCGAAAAGTTGAGAGTTGGCCATCTTTCTGCGTTGTGTTGGCGTTGGCGTTGCCCAACTTTGGTTATATGGAGACTTTCATATAAATACATGTATTCATAGTCAGCTGTCGAAGCGACGCCAACGCCAACGCAACGCCAAAGTTGTATGTAAACGGGCCTTAAGGCAGAATAAGAGTCATCAGTGTTTGTATATTTCTTAAATTTGCAACAAATACCATATTTCCAACCGACATTATTAGCCGTGTTTTATTTGTCCAGAAATTTAAGCTAAATTAGCGAAATTAAAAGTTAAATTAAGTTAAATTAGTGCACAGAGTTAATAAATTAACTGTTGTCTACAAGTGTGTGTAAAAGGTTTTTGATTCGATTCACGCGCTTGGACACAGCAACCCAAAATCGTTGTACAAATTCATAGACAGCACTCATAAATTGAATTCTGCTGTGCCAAATGCAAAGTAAAATTGTTACAGTTGAAAAACCAAACAAACGCCCGTGCGAAAGCTCTATTTATGTGTGTTGCTTAAATTGTTACAATTTATATTTATTTTATAACTTGCAAGTAACGTACGCTTCTTTTGTGCTTTTTCGGCTTTCATTTTAATGTTCCCTCTTTATTACCGCCAAGCAATATTATGTGTATACATGTTTATAAGCTGTCAAAATTTTACCTAGTCTCATGAGCTAGGTAAAATTCTGACGTTCGTTTTCACCACGAGAAATGTCAAATTTTTACTTTGATCCGTCAAAATTTCTTCTTTGCTATCAATTGACACAGGCCCGAACTATCCAAAAATCTTAATATTTAAGTTGAAATTAGTCAAGAACGCAAAACGTATACTTAAACGCAGTCTGTATACGCAGATTTTGTCGATTACTGGAGCCCTCAGTGTTGCTTACTACAGTGTTGCCACTCATCAATGCCTTTTCATAAACTCGCCTTTTCAACTACAATTTTTCGAGCTATAATAGATTTTAGCTAAATAAAAACTACTTAGTTTTCAACAAAAACCTTATTCAGTAGTAAATTTCAAATATTTTAAACGTCTTTTTTTTTGTATAGGAACTCATAACTTTTTTACCATCTGCAAAACTGGCGAAGTGGCAACCATCTATAGAAGGAAGAAATCAGCTGACACGGAAAAATCGAAATTCGCAGATTTTTGCGCTACGGGCTACAACTACAGAAAAATTCTGCGGTGTTGAGTTTTCATTTACATGGCGCTTTGGTAAGACAGATCGTGTCAGCTGACTCGGGTTTACGTACCGGTAGGTTTACGTTCTTGACTCATTTCAGCTTTAAAGCTCATCAATGCCTTTTCATAAACTTACCCTTTCAACTACAATTTTTCGTGCTATAATAGTTTGTAGCTAAATATAAACTACTTAGTTTTCGACAAAACCCTTATTCAATAGTAAATTTCAAATATTTTGAACATATTTTGAATAGGAACTTATAACTTTTTTACCATCTGTAAAACTGACGAAGTGGCAACCATCTAAAGAAAGAGAAATCAGCTGACACGGAAAAATCTAAATTCCGCAGATTTCTGCGCTACGGGCTACAACTACAGAAAAATTCTGCGGTGTTGAGTTTTCATTTAAGCTGAAATTAGTCAAGAACGCAGAACGTATACTTAAACGCAGTTTGTATACGCAGAATTTTGTCGATTACTGGAGCCCTCTGTATTGCTTACTACAGTATTGCCACCCTTCAATGCCTTCTCATGAACTTATCTTTCCAACTACAATTTTTCGTGCTATAAGGGATCATAGCTAAATATAAATTACTTAGTTTTCAACAAAAAAGCTTATTCAATAGTAAATTTCAAATATTTTAAACGTATTTTGAATAGGAAATTATAACTTTTTTACAATCTGCAAAACTGACGAAGTGGCAACCATCTATAGAAGGAAGAAATCAGCTGACATGGAAAAATCTAAATTCCGCAGATTTCTGCGCTACGAGCTACAACTACAGAAAAATTTTGCGGTGTTGATTTTTCATTTACATGGCGCTTTGGTAATGGGCTGTTTTTGCTTACGCGTAAAAGCACATTTAGCGCATTTACCTCTAAATGCTACTCTAAATGTACATTTATCCATACAAAATTCGTCACCTAAATGCAACTAAATGCAACTCCATTTTTACATTAAGAATCTAAATGCTAAATGCAACCCTGTGATCTTCCAAAATTTCCACGATTCGAACATGGTTTAATGAGAAAAAGTGGCAACATTGCATTTTCGAGTATACAGTGGCTAGATGCGTTTCAGTGATCGCCGATCGGGATTTCATTTATTATTTTACATTATTTGGATAAAGGAAAGTTAAGAAAATTCAATATCGATGTGATGCTGATAGAAATCTGGATCAATTTGTGATCAATTCTGTTTGTTTTGTTTCCTAATTAAGTGAGGAAATTTTAATTGACAGCACCGACAAATGAATATATACATACACGAATGGTCGGTCATGGTTAAAACAATTCAAATTTTTGTATTGAAGTTTTGGTTTAAAATTTATTTTTTCCTTTTCAGTAGGGTTTTTGCACATTATCTTCTG